GTTACGTGGAAACAGTGTTCACATTGCACACAGCTGCTGTTCCTCCAAATGTAACCTCTCTTGGCAGTGAGAGATTACTCTTATCTCCGAAAGCAAGGGGCGAGGCAAAAAGAAACGTTACAGGAGATAATATCCAGGCCAGCGTATGCATGAAGCAGCTCTGCCCAGGCACATTTAACAGACAGAAGAACAATCATTTAGTGTTTCAGATTGTAAAACCACTCTTTATCAAGATGAGGTCTTGAAGCATGATAAACTGTTCACAAAACCACTCAAACAATAAAACTCATAGATAAAACAATTTCCAGTCATCAGCAGTTTGCATTTCACGGGCAGAAAAAAAAACCACGAATGATTCTTTCAAATTGTTTCGACAGTTACTGAACTGGAAGATAAGGAATTCTATAGAAAGTCACCGAGCAGTTCACTCGCGTGTCAGAACACCAATCCAAAGCAGCAGAGCAAAACGGAAGGACTGCAGCTATTTATTACAGCTAACCTGAAGGGCTGAGTACATACCACTTGGTCAGAAGCTGGCCTCATCATGCGCGCAAGAACGTTCAGTAGGTCTTGTCTCTTGAGAAACTAAAAACATGAAGTTTAGAAGATAGCTCAGTACAGACAGAGTGCAGCACTTCATTGGCAGAGAACAGCAAGGCGCGAGAAAATACAGGACAGTTATAAGCAAACGTTTGCATAGAACAATTTAGCTTTGAAGGGCCCTTTGGGAGTCACCTACGTTGATCAAAACCAGAACTACCTTTCTGCATTAGATGAGTTTCTCAGGGCCTTGTTCCCTCAAGTTGGAAGCTGAACCAACATGCAAGGTTGTTCCATTCCAGGTGCAGGACTTTGTATTTGTCTTTGTTGACCTTCCTTGGAATTCCTGTTGGTCCATTCATCCAGGACGCTCAAGTCCCTCTAAATGGCAGCTGGGCTCTTCAGCCTACAGTTACCTCTCGTTACGCTCTACTTCTGGTTTCTGCACTCTTTCTGGGAGCATTCACTCTCACCTTCTTTGGTGGGCAGAATGCAGATCGGTACGGATTTTCCGTCCGACCAGTCTTCCCTTCACGTGCGCGTATTCAGAGCTCTGTGTCTGAGTGTGAGCGAAAGAGTCGAGCTGGGACTCCTTGTTGCTCACCCTGGAATGGAAAAGCCTCTAGAAACTAAAAACTGGTGACAGTACTACAAATTTCCTCATCCTCACCTTTAGCTGGATGAGCATTCCTTCACAGCACACCCTTCCAGAGCACCACAAGTTATATATGTGTTCATTTTCTTGATTTAGTTTCCCAGTGCTTGTAGCTTCTTTATTAGTGCCATCATCTCCTGAAGAAAATGACAGTGAAAGAGAATTGCAATCTAAAATTCACAGATTTAAACATCAGAACTCATCAGTAGGCTTAAGAGCTAGATTGCTTCAGTATCCCCGCGGGGTTTCTGAATGTACTACACCACCACAATGTAATTCCAGCACCGGCAGCGTGGCACACTGTTTGTTTACACCTAGAGCTGTCATTAGTGCTATCACTAATGACACAAGATTCCCTTCTCTATAGCCTACGTGCCGCTCTAAAACCAGTTTTATTAAAGTAAACTAAAAATGGATTCCAGTCATACCAGCACTCACCCACAAGAGCAAAGTTACTTTCTAGCAGCTCCCTGTGAGTATTGAACCACGCGTGAGCCAGACGGTTGTTTTTGTTCTTTCCAATGATGTAATTCATGATGTAAGCAAGAAGACCTGTTACCATCAGGATCTCCATGTAGTAACTCTCCCAGCTGTTCTGAAGGTGAGCAGGGACCTACGGTAAGTGAATGGAAACCGTCTTTTACAGACTGAGCGAGGAGATTCCATATACACAGACAGATTCTCTTATGTGTACGTTTGTACACTGATGACGTTACTGGCCTCTTGCCTTAAAGAGAAAGTGGATCAACATTTATACCTACGTTAACTATTGTTATGGGGTCTTTATTTTTGCTATGAGATGCATCTGGTTTCTCTTCATAGCCTTCAAACTCCTCATCATCATACGGTTCACTCTCAGTATCACCTTCCTAAAGGACAAAATCACAGCATGAAAATCCAAAGCTCAGTAAGGAAAATCAAAAGAGATACAGTGAGAAAGAAAGGTGCAGAGATTCTATTAGGAAACACGGAGGAGGGAGGTGAGGCACTACCTGTGCATCTGCATCATCAAAGTCTTCCTGATTCTCATCCTGACCTTCAAGCTCTACAGTGGCTTCTTCTTCATCGTCTTCTGTGGTGATGACCCTCTGAGGGGACTCTGTGACTGCATCTTCGCTAACATCTTCAAATTCAGCAAAGTCATTGTCATCATATTCCATAATGTCATCTCCATCCTCAAATTCATCGTACTTTGCCAAAGAAAAACTCCATGGGATGAACAGGACAGCAATAAAAATATAAAATTTCTTCATTTTCACTGAAAAAGAAAAAAAATAAAATCAACCATTGCAAAAAATCCTTATCAATTCTGTTACACCTCCAGTAATGCCCAACTTCTACAAACAAATTAAAAATACTACCAGGGTCATATCAGAGAGAGAAATTAACCCCTGCCTGGTCTTGCCATCTTCTGTATAAAGAAAGTAAATACTCTTCCAGGAAAAAAATAATTTTGAAAGTGAGGTTCTAAACTCTTGCTGGTAACAGGAGCAGCTGCAGCAGATCACACCTGGCCAAGCTGTTCAGATCAGCAAGTTCTGGAAGTGGAGATGTTCCACTGTAGAAGCATCTCTCAAGTCAGTCAGCGTTGCCAGCTCATTTCAGAGACCACACACTGCACCTACGGTTGTTATTAATTAGCAATTAGACACAGTCAGGTCAATGAATGCGTAACAGCAGCGCTAAATCTTAAAATGCACTTAATTCATTTAAACAGCACGGCTTGAACAGCTTCTGGTAGCTTAAATTTCTCCTCTTTGATTTTCTAGGCTGCGTGCTCAGGATCAGGCCCCACAGCATCCCAGCACTATTTGTTTAGAGACTTTTTGTTGGAAGATCTACCAAAAAAAAAAGAAAAAAAAAGAAGGCAGCAAGAGGCTGGATACTGCACCGGGCTCCAAAACAAGAGTAAGCTGCTGCTCACGAAACCAAAGCTCTCTCCTCAGATTTGCCAGAAACCTGCAGAGAGTTTGTCACTTCACCTGTTTTTTGCCCTCAGCTTCCTGTGTCTTTTCTGCTTGATCTGAAACCAGTCCCGGTCTCCCACTCGGACTGTGGAGACATCACCAAGGTCCAAACTCAGAGCCTGAAAAGGCAGCGATAACCCTTCTCCTGTGTCTCACAGCTACAGAGCATCAGCTGCACCAACCTTAGCACCAAGACTCATTTTACGCCCTCCTGCAACCAGATCTGAGTGGGAACTGGAATGTTAATGAGACTGTTCTCTTAAAAAACTCAAAATAGAAACGATTTGCTTCTAAAATAGCCCAGCACTCCTCCGAGCACCACATGCAGGGAACCCACTCCTACGAATGACAAGGACACGGCTAAAATAAACTCCTTTGTCAAAGATTTCTCATCCCAGCAAAAACCCGAACAGAACATGTTCACAAGAACATTGATCAAGATAGAAAGTGCAGCAAGGCAGAGCCCAGGAATTTAGCAGATTGTCCTGGTATGTCACAATTTTACGTGAATTTAAACAGGAAAAACAAAACATTATTTAAAGATGGAAGAATTTGCATTTGGAAG